AAAAAAAACAAGATAAAACAAAAGACAAGACTAGACGACGCCAAAGTACTGAATCTTCTGAATAAAACACCTAACGGTTATTTGTAGCCAGCTGAGACCTGCATTGTTTTTATGAGCAATGCTTTTCTTTGCTTATAATTCCTGGTTGAAAGGCTCCTCAATACATTCCCACGCCTTTTGACAATGTTTTGTCTTTAAAAGTTATTGATCAATTCTTCATCTAAAAACGAATTTTCTCCGATAGAAAATAACCTATTTCCAATACACAATATATATTAATTCGGCAGCTAATAAAGTTAACACTGTATTTGCGTCAGCTGCAAAGTAGATTAGGAGATTAGACATATTTCTATTTTTATACTTGAACACGGCTTCATGGAACATTTATTTAATATTTTCTTACGGTTAAACAAAACGTTTCTCTTGCGCAGGAATCAAGACGGGTTTAATTTAATCAATCTTTCAGCGTATTTGCTATTTATAGTTACAGGACTTGCGATAGTCATTAAAATTCAGTAAACAATCTCGGTTCCACGCAAACTACAAAGGAGCAGAGCTAAATTGCAGTAGGCCTTATCGAGATCAGTCATTTGGTTTCGTTGGAGAGATTGATAGTAGTTTGGCTGGTATGTAACTGAAGGAAAATCGAATGTGTAGGTAAGTGAAGCTCGGTGTATTTGACTCAAAAACAGTACAGTGCGTACAATACTTTAAGTATAATGGTGAAACGTACTTTTACACGTCTCTGGTACACATCAGCCAGTTCCCAATACCGTTAAATGTCTTAATTATTAACTGACACAACCATTACATATACAAAAGTTAAATTCTGTTCAAGTGCTATGAAAAGAAAGAAAGATAACTAAACGAGACCAAATGTACTTATTCTTTTTTTTTCTTTCGTTAACTGTCGATATCCGTTAATTTTGAAAAGCGAAGAGCAAATTTTAGTGGAAACAACTGTCTCGTTTTATCTTGGAGCGACGCTATGGTTGCATTTTTAATGATTTTTAGCAGTTTCAGTTGCTATAATGACGACTCTGAACTAAGGTCCTTTAAAAGGAATGGTCGATGTTAGCTAGTGACATTGGCTATTCAAAAAAAATAATAATAATAAAATAAATGAATAAGTAGAAAATAAAAAAAAATTGAATTTCTCCCAGCAGGAGTCGAGCCTCCACTGACCTACATTACACTCTTGCAAGGCTGATCATGTTGCAAGGTTAAAACACGAGAAATGTGCTGCATACAGCGCAAGAATCAGTTTGGGATCGTTGTTCAAAAGAGGTTGTTAGATTGCTTCAAAGCTAACCAGTAGAGTTTGTTATGTTATAACATGAGAAGGTGTCGATACCGTCTCAATTTTAGTCGTTCACTAATAAGATAGAGAGATCTACACAATGCATGGGTGTAAGTATCATTGTCCGTATGGGAAAATCGTCATCTGCATGAAACATTGACCGTTACTATAGGTTTCTCACTTGAAGATTGCAGAATACGTTACGTTATTCCACTTTCTGTTAATTGTGAGAAGTACCTACAGTATGTATAAATACATTATTTTCTTCTCAGTTTTAATTCAAACTCTATGCTTCATTGTGTAGTTATACTATTCTTGATAACCAGGATCTTTGATTGATTTTGGTGGACTGGTATTATTTTCGTCTCGGTTTTTGTTATAATTAAGCCACAGAATTTTTAATATGTAACCGCAGACTCCACCTGCCAAGCATACATAATTAGTTTTGTTGAGCAATTTGTTGAGGTGAAGAATCACACTATGATGCCTCGGGCTTCGATTATTAAAAATCCTGGTAAAAATTAAACCGTTTAGCTAACATAATGTTACCTGTACGTTCATCGCATCAGTCAGTATGTTCAAAAATGATCGAAAGGTATTGTCAAATTCACTATGCGTGTTTTCCCCCGCGATAACTTTATCTAAACATCCGCCATAACATTATCACGAATAAAGTTACCAGTAATTAATTTCGGCAAGATCAAAAGGATGTTTATTTACTGGAGATCCCCTTTAATTCTTACATTTATAAACCTGCTCTGGGCTTACTTGATGATAATCCAGTTTTTATCTTTTATTTTATTTACCTTTTTTTTCATTTTTAAGCGTTAAGAAATGGTCCGCTTAAAGGTTTTCATCATCATGAAAGTGGTTCTGCTCACTCAGATGTCTTCTGAAGTAGCAACTAGCCAATGTGAGAGCTTGTATTCCATCTATGGTATGATGCTGAGGGGACATGTCTTCAAGACGATTAAGACTTCGATGTCACTTGAGTGCCTAAATGCCTGCAACGACGATCCAAGATGCCAAAGCTTCAATTACGTAATTATGCAAGACATTTGTGAGTTAAATAACTTCACCAAGGAAGCTGGACTTCAGTATTTCGTTAAGAGCTCGGACAGATATTACATTACGGTAAAAGGTGTGAATAATATATCAGTTTTTAACGACGAGTAAATTTTAATACAATGCATGCAGAAGTATATCGGATATAGACGTTTCGCGGTTTGGGAACATAATATTGCGTATAATAACTACATGGCAACAAGTCGAAGTTACAATGTTCGTGTGGCAATTCAATGTCACACTGATGTTTCCCTTAAAACTGACCTGTCACAAAGAAATAAAACACAAATAATTTGGTCTAATTCCGGTCTACTTGAAGTTGTTGTTTGGTAAGATCATTTTACGATACAACAACTTCAAACCGGACACCAAAGCAACTAATCTTTAAAAAAGGACCACACTTTTCCGGCAGTTTTAAATACATGTTTCGACAGTAACCTCTGTCATTGTCAGTTATAACTACAGTGAATTGGAATATACAAGTTTTATGGGTGTTACTTAACAGGAATAAGCTACAACTGTACGTAGAATTGAAAACAACGAACAACAGGCAAATAACAGGCAGAAAAAAACGTGTAGAAAAATTAAAATGAAAGGGACAAATTATCATGATGAATTTGCTGATTTAAAGCAGGCTTCTCTCAATTGATGTCTATAGCTTCTTTAATTTTTGCTTGGACCTATGTGGCGGCAGAGTTCAAAATGGGAAAGACTCTGCAGAACAAGATTTACGACATTCATTTGAAGCCTGTAGATGTTTGAAAACGTGATAGCTTTTGTCGTAAGACAAGTGTTCACGTACGCGCGTGGAAAAATGACGATTGGTTTCGCCAATGAAGCTAGCATTACAGTTAGCACACAGAAATTTGTAAACCACCCTCGAACGAAGCACCCCTGGGATAGAGTAATTAACACCGCACATACTTCTGATGGAGAATATTGTTTGCCGCAAGAACACACAGGAACACTTATTCCTTGTCCTTCAGACGAACGAATGGGGTAGACTAACATGTAAGAGGGGGTAGACTGTCTCTCGGAATTTCCGGACTTTCAGCACGTACATTCTCAAAATGCCTTATGCTTTACCATTAGAAGTATTATGTAAGACTTTCCAAAAGACGTGATTCCATGATATTTTTTTTTTATAGATGTCGACGAGTGTATCCTTGGAACACATGACTGCCTCGCAAACACTGCTACCTGTACAAATACATTTGGGACTTACAGCTGTGCTTGTAACCCTGGATACGTCGGAGATGGAAAAACAAAATGTGAAATACTAGCGCCAGGTAGATGCCACGGATTGACAAAATTAAAGAAGTAAAACAATGCTAATTAAGAGGGAATCCACCAGAAGTTCGAGTAACAAGTGAACAGGAACTTTGTACCAAGATTATTTACATTGTATTATATTCCAAACGTCTGTGCGACTGTTTTGAATATCTTCGCAAAAAAAATCATTTGTAACAGCACCAAAAGTAGAATACAAATTTTGAAGTTTATATGAAACACTTAAAGACACTGGTGGATTGAAAATGATGATGAAATTTTGCCTGTATTTGCACAGCCAGCCTCTGAACTTTGAAATTTATTTCCTTGAGTTCCCAAAAAACATTTGCTTGGGTGTTATTTCAGGAAACTAGTTAAATCTTTAGCTCTTAGAAAATGCAAAACGGACTGTAGAATCCTGAATACTATTCTGGTACACGATTTTTGTCCACCTATACTTAAAAATTATTGGATTTTTACAGAGTACACTATAAGGTAAAATAGAAAGAGTTTAAGTTACTTCCTCCTAATTACCCAGCAGGTAACATAAGTACTAAACAAAAGTGATACATAAAATATAGGAAACGAAGTTATAATGAGATCTTGTCGAAACGGTGTCCCGAGAATTTTCTTATTGCTAATTGCAATCACTCTACAATTGCTTCTTGTTGGTTTTGTATTTGTTGCCGTTGCTTTTTTCACTCCTATATTTTATCTACTGTTTTTTTTTTTATACGTGTATACTTCGTTTATATTTTGCGTTTAGCTTCATTGTAAACTGATGGATTACGAGGAATGCGTGATGCATTTACAATGTGACACAGGCTAATTAACTCGTATTTTTATTATTCCAGAATGTCAAAGCTATCAAACTCTGACGGAAGCTAACAGAAAAGTCACCTACGCAATAGCCACCACAATATGTGACCGTTCAATCGGCCCAGGCTGGTTTCGTTTCCAAGGAGACGCAGGCACTAAAATGCCTACGTCCTGCCCGCCGATGCGGATGTGTGACACTCACGCACCGGGCTGGATAAACGGTGAACATCCTCTAGTGGCTGACGGCAAGGTCACCAGGCAGGTCTGCTTTCACTGGAGTTCAAATTGTTGTAACTGGTCCACCAACGTTGAAGTGAGAAACTGCGGCTCTCACTACATCTATTACCTCAGTGGTACACCCACTTGTTCTCTCCGATACTGTGGCACAGACTAAGCAATAGAAAGCTAACAGGGCCGGGTTGTTCGAAAGCCGGTTAATTTACGTTAACCCAGGATAAGAGTTAACCGAATAATTAATTTGCCTATGTTTTTTTGTTGTTGTTTTTTCATTACTTGTGTAGTTTGAGATTATTTAGGCTCAAAACTGAAGGAAAAGCAATATAAACCTAAAACTTCGCCCAAAGGTTACAAAATTAAAGTCAAAATTCTCGCTGATTCTGGGTTAGCTTAATCGAGTATTTGAACGAGTTGATCAAAGGACTAAAACATGGCGGGGAAGGGGAATAGCATGTAGAAGATGTACTGCGTGGGTTTGTCTTAAAAATAATGGGAATAGAAACCAATAAATAGATTTAGGCAAGCCTAAAGGGGAGCTCCCATAAAGAACTAATCATTTACTCGATACAACGACTTTCAAAGAAATTCACTGAAAAGTATCTCATAAACCGAATGAATAGGCCCTTTGCACGATCCGGTCACATAGTACAAAATCACAAATGCTGGGACGCAAGTTGCACAGTGGGACTTCCAAAACAACGCAACTCGTACCAGTCCACCTTGACCTGCCTTTGTTTTGGAAGTCCCACTGTNATTATTCCAGAATGTCAAAGCTATCAAACTCTGACGGAAGCTAACAGAAAAGTCACCTACGCAATAGCCACCACAATATGTGACCGTTCAATCGGCCCAGGCTGGTTTCGTTTCCAAGGAAACGCAGGCACTAAAATGCCTACGTCCTGCCCACCGATGTGGATGTGTGACACTCACGCACCGGGCTGGATAAACGGTGAACATCCTGCAGTGGCTGACGGCAAGGTCACCAGGCAGGTCTGCTTTCACTGGAGTTCAAATTGTTGTTACTGGTCCACCAACATTGAAGTGAGAAACTGCGGCTCTTACTTCATCTATTACCTCCGTGGTACACCCGGTTGTTCTCTCCGATACTGTGGCTCGGACTAAACAATAGAAAGCTACCAGGACCGGGTTGTTCAAAAGCCGGTTAATTAACGTTAACCCAGGATAAGAGTTAACCGAATAATTAATTTGCCTATATGTTTTTGTTGTTGTTGTTGTTGTTTGTTTGTTTGTTTTTTTTTTGTTTTTTTTGTTTTTTTTCATTACTTGTGTTCTGTGTAATTTGAGATTATTTAGACTCAAAACTAAAGGAAAAGCAATATAAACATAAAACTTCACCAAAGGTTACGAAATTAAAATCAAAATTCTCGCTGATTCTGGGTTAGCTAAATCGAGTTTTTGAACGAGTTGATCAAAGGACTAAAACATGGCGGGGAAGGGGAATAGTATGTAGAAGATGTACTGCGTGGGTTTGTCTAGCAATTAGAATCTGATAAAAATAATGGGAATAAAAATCAATAAATAGATTTAGGCAAGTCTAAAGGGGAGCTCCCATAAAGAACTAATTATTCACTCGATACAATAACTTTCAAAGAAATTCACTAAAAAGTATCTCATAAACCGAATGAATAGGCCCTTTGCACGATCCGGTCCCATAGTACTAAATCACAAATGCTGGGACTTCCAAAACAACGCAACTCGTACCAGTCCACCTTGACCTGCCTTTGTTTTGGAAGTCCCACTGTNGCATGTAGAAGATGTACTGCGTGGGTTTGTCTTAAAAATAATGGGAATAGAAACCAATAAATAGATTTAGGCAAGCCTAAAGGGGAGCTCCCATAAAGAACTAATCATTTACTCGATACAACGACTTTCAAAGAAATTCACTGAAAAGTATCTCATAAACCGAATGAATAGGCCCTTTGCACGATCCGGTCACATAGTACAAAATCACAAATGCTGGGACGCAAGTTGCACAGTGGGACTTCCAAAACAACGCAACTCGTACCAGTCCACCTTGACCTGCCTTTGTTTTGGAAGTCCCACTGTGCAACTTGCGTCCCAGCATGTGTAATTTTGTACCATGTGACCGGATCGTGCAAAGGTCCTATTGAAATCTCCTCAAATGCACTGAATGCAAATTACTAGGTGTGAATGTCAAATAACAAATCGTATCCTATCAGGTCTGAATATTAAAAGACCATAGCACGATTACCTTTCCCAATATGGAAACCATGTATTTAATACTTTTTGGGTCACGAAATTAGGGTTTAAAAATCCATTATTTAACAAAGAATGTATTGGCTCATTAGCGCTTTTGCCAACGAGAAATTTTTGCGGTTTTTGAAAGACAATGTTCTTCAATACAACAGGCAAAGAACTAAATTTTTCAGCTCGCACTAAGTTTCACAATCTCTTTAACCATTTGTAGTCAGTTCATTTGCAACGAGATGCTTTCTCTTTCCAAGGTCGCATGCTAATGAGGCAAAACAGAATAATGGCTTCAGCAAAGATCGCCCCATTCCATGAATATAATCTATCAATTTTGTTTAATAATAAATAATAATAATACTTTATTTATATAGCGCTATTTCCCTTTAGCTCAATAGCGCTTTACTGTTTACTGACTTAGACTATACGCAAAGGGATTTGTCTTCTCACCTTGTTAAGTTGATGAGCCATTTACGAACTATCTTAAGCCTCCTCGAAGTGAGTCTTGGTGCCCATCCTTTGATACGAAAATGAGATTTCATTTACATCCAAGTTAAACTCATTTTCATATGAAAGGTTGTGCACCATGTCTCGCTTTGATAGAGGGGCTTAAGGTGGCTCAAAACAGTTTCCAACAGTTTTTTATTTGTCAAAAATTTAAGGTGGCCCTCAACTCTACCTACAGAATTTTTTTAAATTTTGCCAAAAGTTTTGTCTTATCATGCTTATCAAAGTTGATAATATAAAACAATTTACGTGCCATTTTTGAATATTATAAGCCACTAAAGCTGCAACTAAGGGTGTTTTGGGAGGTCATACTGGTGCTATGGTAACTTATTGTGTCGCCAAAAAGATAACAACATGGTTTACCAATGATTGGGCAGTTTTTTGATACCATGATTGTAGCATCAAGTGATAAAGAGGGGTTATAACGACCCATCAAAATCTAAGTGTTGGAAACTGTTTTGAGCCACCTTAAGGCAACTCGGAAATAGGCTATTCCATGTAGACGCTCATGTTTAGTAAATGAGGATGATTTAACTAATACTACTTATTTTTTAAGAAGTATTTACCTCTCCAGTTTGCAACAACCATGTTTCTGTCCACAGTGCAGTTATGGTTGTGGGCAACATGTGAACTCTCTGAGAGTAGACAAGGGAAAAGCACCTGATCTCCAAAAGATTACAGAAGGAATAAGTTATAACCGTCACTTGAGCACATCCTCCGATATCCATTTTCTGTAATCTTAATTGTTCTAAATCTAACGAATATTGCATGTTGTATGTTACGACCGTCGCGGAAGTAGTATGTATTAGGTGAATAGCCGGTTTGGTTCCACATGAACTGATAACAGCTGATTTAATGAGAAATGGTTGCAGAACCGATTTAATGAGATGCGTTACCATTATAAGCTCATTCAAAAGACTGGTGACATACCCTGGTATTCCATAATAAAAATGTTTGACAAAACGAGAGGCTTGCCGTTGTACACCTTAGATCTGGATGTCATGAATTTCTTTTTGGGTATGTAAATCCCGCGCTGATGGTCTCTTACTGACAAATAACAAGAGTTTTCCCTAAATGACTGTTTGGGGTAACGATGCAGGTTCCTTCTGACAGTTAAATGCGACAGTAAAAGTAAGTAAAGTAAAACTTTATTTAGCCACCGGGTTAGCCTTCGTGATAATTCTAGTAACATATAACGAATATTAAACTTGATCGAGGTCCTTAAAGAGTTCCACTCCTAAATATTTATTTTGTTTACGGTGTTCATTTAT